GGGGCTGTTGGCCTTTGAAATGCCAAGAGGTTGGGTTTAGCTACAAGGGTTTCACTGATGTGTTGGCGGTACTCAGCACCATCAGACTGATCCATGATGGACAGAGCAATCCTTCCAGTGAAGGGCCATTCCAAGATGGTATCGTAATCACCCTGCATCATATGAACAAAGAGTGCAACGTGTTTACCCACTCCGCTGTCCACGCCATTCAGATTGATCCGCATACAGAGCTTGTACCCATACAGGTTGGTGTAGAAGGCAGGGCTATGTATTGCTGTCATGACTCCATTGATAGCATCTTGGCGGCACTGTCGATAATTTTCTATCCTCCATATGTATGATCCGTTGCAGACACGTCCCTCGTACTCCAACAGTCTGGTTTCATAGCGGTTAAACCTGAGAAATGACAAAGCCAAAAACATTACATACCACTTCGTGCTCAACATTTGGTCAACTGTTTGACCAAATGTCACCAAGATTAACATGATACCAAACCACTGTTTATGATTTGATCGACATCACCGAGGCGTTTTCTACCTCTGTGGTCTTAGTGGTTTCGTTTTATGTGACAGTTAAATGCATGGCTTTGGCTTTTCTGCTTCTGAGACCAACGAGATCGCATACTAAGATCGACTTGGTCAGCCTGGGTGATTCTATTCTCCCAAAAACTTACTTCAGTTCAGTCCGACCGAAATTTCACCAGTCCGCGTCTAATCAGTCCATGTTTTACGAGTCCACGTTTCACTAGTACGCGTTTTACCAGTCCGTGTTTTACCAGTCCGCGTTTTATTAGTCCATGTTTTACGAGTCCACGTTTCACTAGTACGCGTTTTACCAGTCCTCGTTTTATTAGTCCGCATATTACCAGTCCATGTTTTACCAGCCCGCGTTTTACTAGTCCGCGCTTAACCAGTGCGTGTTTTACTAGTCCTCGTTTTATTAGTCCTCATTTTACTAGTCCGCGTTTCACTAGTCCTCGTTTTACTAGTCCGTGTTTTACTAGTCCGTGTTTTACTAGTCCGTGTTTACTAGTCCTCGTTCTACTAGTCCGTGTTTGACCGGTCCGCGTTTAACCAGTCCGTATTTTCGCAGTCCGTATTTTACTAGTCCGCGTTTTAGTAG